TAAATTGAAAAAAAAAAAAAAAAGAAAAAGCGAAGACGGTGTCGTGTAAAGAGTGGTTTTGCATTAGTTGGACGAAAGGTATTGTTTGTAATTGCCATTCGCGGATGAATCTCGGAAAAAAAGCAAAACGGATCGAAAGTTACGAATGACGAAATTTTTTCGAAGCGTATTAAGTAAGCTTGAAAAAAAAAAAGCATCGAAATGTCCTTTTCTCCTGCTTGTACAGCTTTGAGAGAAACCATACGTTTAAGGTCTCGGTCGGCCTTGGAAAAAAGGAGTATGGCTCTTGAACCTCGGGGCTTCCTCGAGAACCGCGAACAACACGGCGAGGACTCGTAAATATACGTGAAACGCGTAGCACTGGCTCTCAAATTTGTGATGGATCCGAAGCACCGAGTGTACACGCGAATCGAGTGATTTTGTCACGTTTATGCAAGCACATTCGCGATGGCAAAGATGACGTTGGCGTTTGTGGGTTTTTTACTCATATATATACATATATATATGTACCAACACATTTTTTCCCTCTCTCTCTCTCTCGTTACAATGAGGCTGCTGAGTTATACATCTCATATATATATATTTTTTTTAATTTTCTTCATCGTTTTAATTTTTCTTTACTTCGTGAGTGTAGACTAAAGAAAGATTTATCATGAAATGTGCACGATCACAAGTACCGTTAATTGTGAAACACTTTTTCTGTCTACGCAGAACTTTCTCTTTGGCTCGGAGCTTCGTGTGTATATTATAGTATTATAAGCAAATATGTGAACATGACACACGTATGGTTTGTCTCGTATACAAACAGCCACGACTCTATACTCACGGCATTTTATGTCTTTTATGTGTTTCATTTTTCTATATAATCTAAAGGTGTTAACAGATGGACGCTTGGATTATCTTTTTTTTTTTATCCCTACGAATCGTTCAAGAGTTCGCGATCTTGTTGCATTTTTACTTTTATTTTCCCTGTTTTTGTTCGTTTGTTGAGACGAGCTTTCGGATTGTTTTGGTTAACAGTTGAATACGGAGCGAATGCTGCGCTTTGGAGTTTCGGAGTTCTGCTTTTGAGTAATAAGTACAGTCTGCTAGGGTTTTTTTTTTTTTTTTTTTTTTTTCAAACTCGATCAGCTGATTTCTGAAGTGGTAGATGCGCCACTCTGTTGCGACTATATACGTATTGCCGGTGCACACTCCAGAATGTACTTAACCCACGGTACCAAATATATAATCATCTGAGTAAATAAATAACGATCCTTGGTCTTTTAATGATACACATATATCAACTTATTTACAACCTCAGTATGATATTCAAAACAACATTTTTTTCCATTATTATTTTATTCAATTTTGTCGAGGAAAAAAGTTGTTATCAATGGTAGACAGGTGTTTGATTTAAAGTCTATTTGTGGGAAAGACTTGATTGAGTACATTTTTTTCCATCTTTTATGCAGTTGCACGCGTGAAGCTTGGCTTATCTGTCATGACAAGTGCAATTTCGCTCGTTTTTTATTTTGACGAACAGCGATTTTCTTCGTGCATATTTTATACGTAAATAATGCCTTTGTTTAAATTTGACATAATTTATGTATAAACTAATTATTCGTGCTCAAAGGAGGAAAAAATAGTGCGTGACGATAGTACTTGTCGCTCATTCTAAAGTAAAATTCACCTACTTTGCGTTTTGCATGATGATGTAAATTTATGCTTCTTCTCGAGCCTATTCATATACAATTTTCAACTTTGAGGAAGTCAAAGGCACACGAGACTCATCGCACTGTTATTATTTTTCCATACCGATGTTCACGTACAATGTATTCAAGCGTTAAACGTCATTCATGTTGTATTGCGTCAAGCTCACGATTCTTTTTTGCACGTACATCATACGTCTCTGTCACACCGAATTGTAATTTTTTTTTTTTTTTTTTTTTTTCATTTCACTATATACTATTCGACGAGTAACAGTTGTATTGTTGTATTTTTATACAATAATTTTTAATTTTCCAGCTAATCGTAGAGTCAAATCGGAGTATTCGATGAAAACAGCGAGCCACAGCAAACATGAGGCCTCAGAACTGTGAAAATTGCCTTAATGAAGAGGTCATGGCTTCAAATGGTTACACCAATGCTGCGGCTGTATCAGCCAAGCAGTCAAAGACCAACTCACCACCCTGTGAGTCTGGGAATTGTATGTGTGTGCTTGGATTAGCAACCTTTATTTTTTTATTATTACTACACTAACCAATAATCTACATATATAGTTTCCCTATGTAATTACAATAGTTATGTAACGTTTGTAGTTGTTGATGCTAACAGTGATCTGTGACTTTGAAGTTATGACGATAAATAATATAATTGACAATAACACGAGTAAAGTTGATTGTAGATTGAAATGTAACAGATTTCTTTTCTTTTTTTTTTTTTTCGACTGCCAGTTCGACTTTTAACACCAGTACAAAAGCTGCTTGGCAGAAATATGCTGGAAACTTTGTGCAATCGATTTTAATGATTATTATTATGACTCTTCTAGTAGCCTTGGAGTGATAAATAGTTAATCTGTATTAGTAATTTTGAATTACATAATCAATCTGATCAACGTAATTGCAATTTTTAAAAATTTTAGCGGTAAAGTTTTATTAAAATCATGATTTGTCGATTTTCCCTACTTTGATCAAATTGTGATCATTGACTAGTTATTACTAACGTCAGTATCGTATTTATAAATTTTTTTAACATTATAGTTTAAACTATCACGCGCTTTTAAATAATTTTACTCACTGAAATTAGTTTTTGCTCCAAAGTATATTTCGAGATAATTGACATCTCAGGTTGGATTTTGTACCAACTTTCCAGCATTTTTTATTGAAGTAATCTGATAGTATTACTGTGATTTTTGTACGTTTTTTTTTTTTTTTTTTTTTTTTTTCAAACTCGCAAAACTCGCACCTCACGGGGCTTATACTGCGTCTTGCTCGCATCGCGAGAACAAAAAAAGAGAGAAAAGGCTTTGGACACGTGTTTATGTACAGCTACAGATTAGTTGGGTCCCGGGTTTATTTTACTTATAAAAGTGTAGGTACGCGCTATAGGTGGTAAATTTCTTCCTTTTTTTTTTCCTTTTCTTTCTTTTGGCTTGTTGATTCTTCGATGACACTTTTGTGCAATAATATACTTCTCGTGTGTAATCGACGCTGTATCGAACAAAAGAAGTACATACATATACAATATGGACACAACATGATTGATGCGAAAATTCATTAATCATCACTACATGGACACGAGCATGTAGGTCACCTCTTGCGGGCGCGTAAAAAATTCAACGCGCGATCGATAGATCCCATAATACATCCCCCACGCACAGCTTGGACGTACGAAAACGCTATATTATATCCGCGTACCGTACGTTGGGGGGGGGGGCGTCCATCGGCAAAAAGAGAGAGAAACACGTTTCAATCGTCGTTACAATTCGATCGATATAGGAGCGAATCGGGCTTTTGTGTGGTGTTGGTGGGCGCTCCTCTTCGTCCCGTTGCCATGCGTTGAAACATCATTTTCCTGTACACCTCGGGGCATCATTTTTTTTTTTTTTTTNCATTTTCGTGGAAACGCCAGTCCACCGCGTCATCGACAAACGCAGTCGGGGGATTCCCAAGCAAAAGGGTTGAAAAAAAAAAAAAGTCGCTGTGGTAAAACTTTTGCAACGCGTAAAAATACACTGCGAAGATAGAATGTGGTACATCTTTGACGAAAATTGGGATGAAAATCGTGATTCATGCTCGAGATCGGCCTATATAGTTTATTTCTCGCACCGCGGCGAAAAAAAAAGACTCGCATGCAAAATCATTCGATTCTTTTGTACTGATCTTACGTGATACTTATAAAATGTAATCGAGTGGTTTATTACGATTATCATGGTATTTATTATTAGGTGGTGAATAAATAAAAAAAAAAAAAAAAGAAAAAGCGAAGACGGTGTCGTGTAAAGAGTGGTTTTGCATTAGTTGGACGAAAGGTATTGTTTGTAATTGCCATTCGCGGATGAATCTCGGAAAAAAAGCAAAACGGATCGAAAGTTACGAATGACGAAATTTTTTCGAAGCGTATTAAGTAAGCTTGAAAAAAAAAAAGCATCGAAATGTCCTTTTCTCCTGCTTGTACAGCTTTGAGAGAAACCATACGTTTAAGGTCTCGGTCGGCCTTGGAAAAAAGGAGTATGGCTCTTGAACCTCGGGGCTTCCTCGAGAACCGCGAACAACACGGCGAGGACTCGTAAATATACGTGAAACGCGTAGCACTGGCTCTCAAATTTGTGATGGATCCGAAGCACCGAGTGTACACGCGAATCGAGTGATTTTGTCACGTTTATGCAAGCACATTCGCGATGGCAAAGATGACGTTGGCGTTTGTGGGTTTTTTACTCATATATATACATATATATATGTACCAACACATTTTTTCCCTCTCTCTCTCTCTCGTTACAATGAGGCTGCTGAGTTATACATCTCATATATATATATTTTTTTTTTACAAACAATGGCTTCTATCGATTGATATTATGTTAAGGGATATCAATGGGCTCTGGTAGACGACAGATCACGTCGAGATTTTCGTGAAAGTAGTCGAGGGCTCGGTAAACGTTCAGAGTTGAAAAAAAGAGAAAAACTATATCCAAATGAGAGATACACATACTTATGAATACATTCTTCGTTGATGTTTATTATTATTTATTTAATTAAAAAATTCCTTGCGCAACCCACATCAAAATTCGTCGCGATAAGTAATTGCGCCACCAGTTTCCTCTTGAACAGCTTCGTACAAGTTCGAGTCGGTCCATCGGGATAATCGTAGAAAAAAGGCCCGAAAGAAGGGCACCCCGCCTGACTCGGCCAAACACGGGTAGGTACATATTGTATATACGTACGGCGCAAAAGCCGGGAGAGAGAGAGAGATCTCCCTCTACCCGGGCAGGCAGACCGCGAGATATCGAGAGGGAGGCCAGTTGTCGGTGGCTTCGCGCGCGAGCCACTCTACCTTCGACCGCACTAACTTTTACTGTCTCTCGTTGGTGCGCCCACCCGACACCTACGATCGACGATTTTCACGTTACCTTCCAACGAGACACTCGAGTTTATTGTTTTGTTATGCGGCGATTCGACGTGGATCCGCTGCTCCCGTGTTTTTGCTTCTCTTTGCAATTTGTTTGAGTGCCGTTGCGGTTGACTGTTCCAGTGGACTTTGTTTTTTTTTTTTTTTTTCCTTCTCCAAAGGTTGGTGCAATTAGGCGCAATAATTTTGTTGTGCGTGGTAGGGTCGAGTGGCCCGCTTCTGGACAAGTGATTGTGAAGTTTCGGTGGTGCCGGTGGAGAAATGTGATATCCGTATACCAAGAGGGGCAATGATTATTTATTTATTTTCTTTTTTATCGCGAGTTTGACGGGACACGAATGGTTTTGACGGTTGGATATGCTTTGTCGTTCGTATAATTGTTTTGATCGGTACTACGTGATGTTTACTCGGAAAAATGCGCAGTTACGTACCTCCTTGTAGATACGTGCAGATCGGCAGTTCGAGCGAATTAACACAACAACGATAAGCACTGAATGTTTGCAAACAATCCTCACTTTGGGTAATCGAAGAAGAAGAAAAAAATACTGTGGACACTCTGTGAAACCCCACTGGGCCAAATATAAATGAGATTAAAAAGAATACTCGCGCGTGGGCTTACATCGATTTTAAACGAAAGTATCGGGATCGAGAAAAATAATTGCATTGTTCCCCACCGATTGTGCGTCTATTGGGACATTTCTCGTTTTATCGTACAGTGACAGAAACAACAGATCAAGCGCTGGATTCTGTGATTCCCCAACAAAGAAACGTACCTTTCGCATCGATGACTGCCACGGAATTCGCTTTGCTCTGACTAACTCCACGTGTGCAATTAGCAGAATAAACGCCGCCTCCGAAGGCGATTTTTGAATTTTAAATCGCTACTTGTCGCACTTGAAAAACACTCGCTTCACTGAGCTATATACATGTACTAGGAAACGCTGTTTGCTCAACTCATTTGAAAACGTCTTGTCCATCTTTGTCGATCGTTTGAACAAAAGACCCGATTTTTCTTTTTTTTTTTGTACAATATTTGACATTTTAGTTCATCACGTATACCGATTTGAATAATTACAATATTACGGCCGCGTGACATTACATCACGGCGCTGCGATCAATTTTCTCCGGGACGTAATTTCTTCGATCGGCAAGCTTTAATAGCCATGTCCTTGTTTTCACTTTGAATTCTCGCAAACGCGTGTTACCGATTATGTAAAAAGAAAAAAAAAGTAAATTATTGCATCATGATTATACCAACGAAGCAGGTATTTGATGGAAAAAAGCCCGCATTTTCTGCTTACAATAACATAAATATATGTACATATAAATACACAGCATAATCGCCGAGTGGCAGTTTTTTCAAGTGCCAAGTCAATAACCGGCGATTTATTAAACAATTTTGTGTCATAAATCGTGTAAAGAATCCAGGTTGCATCAGCGGGAATGGACTTATGAAAAGTGAAGAGAAAAAAAAAACAGAATAATCCGGGATATCGAGTCAGCTCGCGCCTTGAGAAATCGGTTGCCACACGAGCTTGAAAAGTCGAGGTCATTTTTCACGAGTTTCTCCCGAGACGCAAATGTAAAAGATAGTTTTCTGAAGAAACGACTGTACAATCGAATTGCGTTTTTATCAGAGTGATTTTTCGCGCGTGGAAGTATTCATGCCGATCGTCATCGATTTATCATCGAACGGCACACGCGGAAGACAAGAAAGACCGAGGCCGCGACCTTGGCAACTGCAACGACACGAATCGCATCATTAGCCGTACGAAAATCACGACATTGACGTGCTCGCGAGCGTAGAGAAAAATTTTCCCGATCTCGAGATCGTTATGGAAATCGGCTGGCGTGACGCGCAAAAAAATAACAAGATAGAGATCATTTTTCAACGCTACAGCTCACCGATATCATTTACAACGGATAAAAAAAATGCCCAACTACGGACTTATATCCCTTTTCTGACCTAAAAATGTTACCGATCGCTCGCCGACTCAACGAAAAACAAGTCGAATCTGCTGCGTATACGCGGCCATTTCACCGAAACACAAAGTTCCATTCACCGGCGATGCAAGAGAACTCGGGCGACTCGGTTGTTGGGAAAGGCCCAGTTTTCGCGTTACATCATGACCGATCTGTAGCGGCTGATGGCGTTAATCGATTCCGCGTCAGCCTTCCGATGAAACACCGTACCAGCGGACCCGATTTGTTTTTTTCCGGCGACCCTCGATTGCCACACGCAACTTCATCCTCATTTTACCGGGAATGACTTATATGTACAACCTTTATCGAAAAGAAAAACTGGAATTAGTTTTGATTGCGGTAACGAGACAGATATTGGACACACGAAGCGTCGTTAGGCACCGATGTGCTCCATGAAAGCGGTTGGGAATTCATAGACGATTGCGCAACGCACGATTTCACGATGAAGCTCGAACAGAAAAAAGCAGCTGGGACTTGGATCATATAAAAGATCAATCTCATTATTAATGAATGAAACACACCGGCGTTGCGCAACAAGCAGTTTTTGGTTTTGTAACTTTCGTGCGGATGAAATATACACACGTCCGATAGTTTGGTAATGCGTAATGCTTTCATCCGCCAAGTTAAACTCGAGTGGAGGGTCGGACAGCTTTGCCGAGAAAAGAGAGCGTGCGCCGGTCCATCTTCCTTTTCCTCCTCGAGAGCCTGGGACACAGGTGTAACATCGTTACGACACTCGATCGGGTATTACCAGCTGTCCGCCAAAAAAGAGATAATAAGAACAAACAAAAAAAACAAAATGACCAAAAGGCCAATCCTGTGCCTATGTATAGATAGCCGTTACCTCATCGTCGGTGCACACCACCTCCAGGTATACTTACTTGCGAGCGTCCGGTTTTACTTTCTCCGATGCAGAGTAGGTATACGTTATAGGCATAGTGTGCTTAAACGGAATTTGCCAACTTTCTTTGTTTTTACACTGTTATGTTGAGGCTATAATATCAAGCTATACAAAATTGATATTATACCGTCAGTGCAGATCGGTTATAAGGCTCCCAAACCCTCAGCATCCTCTTATCGTAAAGTAAAAAAAAAAAAAAAAAAAANGGAAAATTGCAAACAGTGTGTTTCTAACTTGATCACTGTATGCGAAGGAGGCTTTTGCGGTTGCAGATTTGTTTACACTCCTCGGCGATTTAGGCAGGTGTAAGGAAGAAATGCCCATTCGATGCTTTATTTTTACGAGTTAAAAAAAAAAAAAAAAAAAGGTATTAAAAAAAGATCCCTTGTCAACAACCTCTTTAGCGTAATGTATATACTTTCATTGCGCACCTATTCATTTACGATTAAATAGCACGCCGTTGTCGAGAACAAAATTAACAGTTTATACATCCCTTTTTACCCCCCACCCCTCTTCCTCGTATCTACATACAATATAAATATGGTCTCTGGACGGCGCGAAAGAGGCCAGTGTACACACTAACTGCTTGGCTTTATATCGCGAGTTTCACGGTGCTAATGAGCAACAATAGTCTGAGGTTAATCGTGAGAGAATAAAAAAAAAAAAAAAACAACAACAACAACAATATCGTGTTTACATATGGACTACTGGAACGATGCTCGTTCCTTATCATATATATTTTTTGTTAATGCGTTTATGAACCCGATGATCTATCGAAGGATCAATATATACATAGAAGTTCGACTTTACTCGGTACATTCCCTTTCAGTTGGTGCCGATCTCCAATGATGATACTATCACATGTATGTGTGCTAATGGCCGTACCGTGATGGTACAGTATATATTATGGTGTACACACGTGCGAGTGCGCGCATACACACACGAGAGCTCGCCAACCTGGTGAAACTCCTTTTCCCTTTCGTTCGGCCGTACTTATAAAAGAATAAAGTGAAAGAGCCAAAGGGGCTACACGGAGCGGGGGTCCACATGTATACGTATACATGTATATAATATATTATGAAATCGCTCGATTACGACAGACATTTCTCGCGTGTTATGGCTTACGCATGTGTGTTTACGGATACATGCATGCGTGTACACCAGAGTGCATTAACTTAGCGATTCACGTGAATCGGTGGGTACGCGAGAGCGTATAGCGATCGGTACTTGTATACTTACCGAAGTGGTTGCATACAATTGTATCGTTTTTATTTAATATTAGTCGACAGGTGTTTTGGGAGGATCCGTGGATTGACGCGTCGGGATGCACCGCACACAGAAAAATCGGCAATCATTTGTCCACCGAGTGCAACCGATGTTAAAAATAATTTTTGTGTATATTTAACGATCGATGTTACTCTATACACAGACGGGAATACACTTAATTTTAAGGACGCGTGACAAAAGCGATCGGTAATACCGGTATGTGTATGTGTGTGTTTTCAGTCATGGAGCCGGGGGCGAGCGCATCGTCATCGGCAGCTACGTTACCGGCGACCTCGATGGAGCTGAAGACCCGGAGGGCCCAATTCCAGCCCCAAGCCTCGACGGTCGCGACCCGCCGGAGCCAGGCCGTCTGCGTGCGCCGGGCGTACAAAAAGTACGGGAACAAGAGCAATCCCAACGTCATCCTCGACGGCCTCAACATGACCGTACCCAAGGGTGCAATGTTAGTGCTTTTTCATTCTTTGGTTTTTATTGGTATATCCGTGGGGTGGAATTAAATTTTGGCTTCCGATCGAGGATTATCGGTACAAATCGGTAAAAACATAAACTAAACGATTTTTTCTTTTTTTTTTTTTCTTTCAATTGGATGCTCGTTCATTGGATGTACGTAGCCGTTTTACCTTTGTTTGTGTATGCTCGTCCTAGAAATTTCTAAGTTTGGAGAAGATCTTGGATACTGTACTGAATACGAAATCTACGGGCCACAATTTCGATTGCAAAATATTCGCGCTCTTTTTCTTCGTTGCTATGATCACGTAAGATCATCACAGCACAGTGATCGACTAAATTTTTATTATTACATCTTCGAAAAAATGGCACTATTGGAGTTGAAAAATTCAAGCATCCTCTCTCTGTCTTTCTCGACGAGTCTTGGCAGGGTCCTTTGTTCGTCAATCACGAGACGTCAAAAGAAGCAACGACGATCAACATAAATCTTGAACTTTTTTTGCGCGGACGCGTTAAAAACCACTGGTGCGAAGATGCGTCCCGTCGCATGCATAATTCAGCGAATATACGTACCTTTTTTTTTCGAACACGCACAATGGCACCGCGCAAAAAATTGCACGTCGCGAGAGAAAAATAAATTTTTTTTTCTCTCTTTCCTTCTTTTTTGATCCCCAGCCACTCTGACAACTCAAATGACGGATGATTCGAGCTCACATACGCGTGCAGTACACAATATATAATATTATACACTGCAAATGTTGGTTTTTTTCTCTTGTCGTCGTACTTTTATTTCCGGTAAACTTGTGTACATCCCATCGAGCGGATCTAAAAGTATTCCTCGCAAATGTTGTTTTCCAAACGAAATTGGTTGAGGCTAAGCTAAGAAAAAAAAAAAAAAAAGGTAACAAGCAAGTAAACTCTTACAGCTACGGACTGTTGGGGGCGAGCGGCTGTGGCAAGACGACGCTGCTGTCGTGCATAGTGGGCCGTCGGAGACTGAACTCTGGGGAGATTTGGGTGCTCGGCGGGAGACCGGGCTCGAAAGGCTCCGGAGTCCCGGGGCCGCGGGTCGGCTACATGCCCCAGGAGATCGCGCTGTACGGCGAGTTCTCGATCCGCGAGACTTTTATATTCTTCGGCTGGTGCGCCGGCATGGAGACCGAGCGGGTAAAGGAGAAACTCGAGTTTTTGATCAAGGTGAGCTGTCTTTGTTTTCCACTTTATATTACCAATGTGTTAAATATGGTTAAAGGAATGCATCTTGGCGTATCCTTTTCCTCGTGGGACACGTTTTTGCGCCTTGGTTTATAAATATAAAGTTTTTAATCCCGAAAGACAAGTGCAGTGACTCTGCCCACATGAAGTTTCGCGTGTAAGTTAAGTTTAGGCTTTTCTCGATCGCGCTGGTTGTGATCCAGGAGTTGAAATTTAATTTGATTTCGCGTCCTCGTGGTGAATTAATAAATTTATTAACAAGAACATTTCTTTTTCGATCACTACTTTTGTCTAAAATGTGCGTTGGTACACGCGTTGATAAATTGAAAAAAAAAAAAAAAAAAGGATACGTCAAAATGAATCAAAGATATTGGGAAAAAACAGCAGCAAGTAGGAGAAATGACCTGTAATGTAGACTAAAGGGGAAAATAAAAAAAAAAAATGCTCAATGGCAGTTCCTGCAACTCCCCTCGGAGAACCGTTTCGTGAAGAACCTGTCGGGCGGGCAGCAGCGCCGAGTCTCCCTGGCGGCGTCCCTCCTGGCCGAGCCGGAGCTCCTGATCCTGGACGAGCCAACGGTGGGCGTTGACCCGGTCCTGCGCCAAAGCATCTGGGACCACTTGGTCCACATAACCAAGGACCGCAAGACCACCATCATCATAACGACCCATTACATCGAGGAGACCCGCCAAGCCGACATAATCGGCCTGATGCGTGGAGGCCGCTTCCTCGCGGAGGAATCCCCGAGGAAGCTCATGGAGATCCACCGGCTCGACACCCTCGAGGAGGTCTTTTTGAAACTCAGCCGCAGACAGAACATGGGACTCAGGAGGCGCAGCAGCATACTCAGCAGCGTGATCGGTGTACCACCCGAGCCCGTGAGCATTTACACACACACACACACACATATATATATATATATTTACATACCTACATTTATTGCGAATACATCCTCACGTGGTGATCACTTTCTCTCAAACATATATGATACATGTGTTCCAGGACGCCGACGACGAGATGAGCGGGGAGTTTGGGGACAACGTGAGCATATCTAGTCGAAGGAAGAGCATCGTCGCGGTCACGACGACCGACGACGAGGTCGGTACAATTATACATTTTCATGGTTTTCTTTTTTGTTTTTCTTTTTTTTTTTTTCTTTGTTGAAATATACTATACATACTTTTGTACCACCGTTTGATGCGTAGCTCAGCGATCTTCCACCGGAGGAGGAAGGGTCGAGCAAGTTCCAGATGCTCAACCCCAAGCACATGAAAGCCCTCATTTGGAAGAACTTTCTCTGGATGTGGCGGAACGTTGGGTAAGTTCGATCGAATGTACACGTGGACACATGGGCCAACGACGCTAACGATATATATGTATGTATTATGTATATTATTATCGTTCCGTGCGTTTTTTTTTGTCCCCTCCCCCCAGCATCATGCTCTTCATAATCGGACTGCCGGTGGTCCAGATAATCTTGTTTTGCCTGTCGATCGGCAAGGACCCGATGGGCTTGCGACTGGCGATCGTCAACAACGAGCTGAACTCGAGCGCCGAGCCGTGCGCGCCGAGCGTGGGTTGCGACATGCGGATGCTGAGCTGCCGTTACCTTAAACACCTCGAGAAGCGCACCGTCGTTTATCTGCCCTACGACACGGACGAGGAGGCAAGACACGCGGTCACCAAGGGCTGGGCCTGGGGTGCCATCACGTTCCCGAGTAACTACTCGAGCGCCCTCAACCAGAGGATCGAGGAGGGAAAGGACGCGGACGAGTTTAGCGTCGACTACGCCGACATGAGCGTCGTCATGGACATGTCCAGTGGGTTTTTCTCTTTTTTTTCTCTTTTTTTTATTGGTCGTCGATCTGCTATCTGCAATCGGTGTTAGTACACGATGATTCGCTTGTTGTTGCTCAGATCAGCAGATCGGCCAGCTGCTCCAGCGCGACCTGTACTACTCGTTCCGGGACTTTGCCAGGGACATCACGACTTCGTGCAACTACAGCGAGAAGGTGGCCGACATCCCTGTTTCGGTGAGTTTATTTATAGGTATTAAGTTCGACGTTAGGAAGTTTCGCGCTTACCTGGACTTTGTGCTTGCAGTTTCGGGAGCCGATTTACGGACCACTGGAGCCCAACTTTACCGATTTCGCCGCCCCCGGGGTCATATTGACGTGAGTTTTTGCGATATTTTAAAAAATACAACAACAAAATCATGTGTGACAAACTCGTTGGCTTCTCTCGGTAGGATCATCTTTTTCCTGTCCGTCGCGCTGACGTCTGGTGCCATGCTGCTTGAGAGAAACGAAGGTCTGCTCGAGAGGAGTTTGGTCGGCGGTAAGTCTTATGCTCCAATGACAAAGGAATCCACTCGCCCTTGCACAGTGCGTGGTATTACATAAGACACATTTGGTCGTCAGGTGTCACCGGTACCGAGATCCTCTTTGGCCAAGTGGTCACCCAGTACTGCGTCATGACGGGCCAAACATTGATGGTCCTCGTGGTGGCTTTCGGCGTGTTCGACGTCACGTGCGAGGGAAACGTCGTCTGGGTCTTTATCCTCACGATGCTCACCGGACTCTGCGGCATGTGTTTCGGTACGTTGCATCGTTATTTTTTATTTTATTTTTATTTCCACCCCACCCCCCTCTCTCTCTCTCTTTCTCAAATGTAACGATTTGGTTGTTCGGTTGCAGGTTTCGTGGTGGCGTGCTCGTGCGACAACGAGCGCAGCGCGACTTACATGGCGATGGGCTCATTTTTGCCGATCGTCATGCTGTGCGGGATCATCTGGCCGATCGAGGGTATGCACCCGGTGCTGAGGTACATAAGCTTCCTGCTGCCGCTGACCAAGAGCACAGAGTCCTTCCGAGCCATGCTCGCTCGTGGCTGGACCATGGAGGAGTCCGTTGTCCACGACGGCTTCATCGCCACTTTCATCTGGATCATGGTCTTCCTCACGATCGCCATACTACTCCTCAAGTTCAAGAAAGGCTGAGCGGACTGTTTATATTTTTTTTTTTTTTTTTTTTTTTTTTCAGAGGAAGCACGTGGAACGTGTATGTCTGTATGTTTTTTTTTTCTTTTTTTTTTTTACCGATTTAACGGTGGTTGTTTGTCATTTTTACCGTTCTCTTGGAGGAAATTGATCGTGACGATGATAATTGTGTTGTTGAGTGTGGATCGAGGATTTTTTTTTTTTCCATTTTGACTTTGACGTTGAATAAATGTTTTTATGGTGTTTCGCGTCTCGGGTGACTTTCACGCTGGGGTGTTTTTTTTTTCTTTTTTTTTTTTTTTAACAACTTTTGTAAACTTTAAAAATTCCTAGTTTGCATGACAAGTGACTCGTGTACGTAATTTATTCTCCAACTGGTGCTGTTTCTCTACTTCTAGACGCGTTTCCTGTGTATGTCGAACATTATTCAGTAGCTGTATGCGATCCATACGTAGTATTATGTTTATTTATTCGTTTTTTTTTAATTTTTTTTTTTTTAATTTTTTTTACTCTGCTTCTGAAGATGAAATCAGAATAGCAGTTGAAAAAAAAAAAAAAAAAGTACCTGTACAGTATAAATGTAAGTGTAAATGTAGATCTATAATATATATATATCCAGAATTTGTGAATTCAAATAACGGTACGTTGTTATATTGCGGGATTCCTATCGTACCTATACGTAGAACTATGCACTTTTGGCTAAAGTATAGAAAAAAAATTACAATAAGTCGGGGTTCTGTCGAGGGGAAAAAAATAAAAATAAAAGTTTTAATGCATATTTCATAAGGCGGGTCCTATATGTATACGTGTTTCTTTAGTTATACTTAAGTCTTGTACAGCTCATGTAATGTAATTATCGTATAATCGTTTGTGGATGATTTTTAATAAATTGACATAAAACACTGGCTTTTACGTTCGCCTCGTCTCGAACAGAAATATCTTTCCCATCCAATTAACGCGATGGTACTTCCCTCGAGCGCATCGAAACCACAAGACCGAAGAAAAAGCCCAAGGCTACGGAATGATTATTTTCTGTGCGAAAAATGCAGGTACACGTTGATTCTGCAACGCGTGTACGCTTTACGTTTCACACGCGCGTTTCTTCTCAAACAAATCGAGCGAACGAGCAACTAAAGTCATTCAGCTCAAGGCTCGCGAAGAAATCGGTAGATGTGCTCCATGGGTACAAAGTCTTACAAAGCTCCAGCCAGGATGGACGCTTCCTGTGGAAGAGCATGTGTTGTTGTACTATTGATGGTCCTCCCGTTCATTTTGGCACAGGACATTTATTTTCCGAAAAGTTTGGCAAAGTGGCAAGGTAAGTACCCATCCTGTGAAACTTAAAATCAAAAGCGTACTTTATAATGATTAAAAGCCATGCAAACGTGTGATGATAATAATTACTGAGGTGTGGCAATTAAAGGAGCGAGGGGTGAGTTGTAAAAAGAGTTGGATTGATGAATGGCTCCTTTGTGCTTGAGTAATTGTGTACCAACAGTTACCCAAGACTCTCTCACAGAGCTCGACAGGTTTTAATTTATTTTAACTTTCTGTCTTAAATGTTGAATCTTAGAAGAATGATAAAACTGAGCATAAACTATCTATCTAGCTGTATTACATTTTTTAATTGAGATTAATGCAATTTGTATTTTCAGCTGAATGTAAAACGATGGAAAATTGCAAACAGTGTGTTTCTAACTTGATCACTGTATGCGAAGGAGGCTTTTGCGGTTGCAGATTTGTTTACACTCCTCGGCGATTTAGGCAGGTGTAAGGAAGAAATGCCCATTCGATGCTTTATTTTTACGAGTTAAAAAAAAAAAAAAAAAAAAGTTGGCACCACTAAAAGTTGATTGTTTTGTATTCCTTATTATTACAAAAATTCAACGTATTTGTATGATTTTAAGAATTACATTGGAAATAAAAAAGAAATTAAAGTACGTGATCCTAGTAATATCCTTTTGCACTATCATGCTTATGTGATTGAAGAAAAAAAATTTATGCCTTGCTTGCGTTTGTGTGGTGTGCAAACGCATATCTTCCGCCACGCGACACAACTTACATCTTCATGGATCCATCCATTTGGTGACTAACAATTTTATAAATGAGAAGAACATAACTAGAAGAATTTTGAGTTTGATTATCAATTGTGTACACCGATTGCGCAAAAAAAAATATATATATATACATCACGTTACAAATCCGGCAAAAGAAGAGCGATGGTTAAAATTGTGTTTTCTCAAGTCATTTCGCTAGTATAGTTGCTATGGTTGATGAATGTAAAGCTGTCATCACAGTTACATCCACATTTCTTGACTCATACGTCGATATGTGACATAAACAAATGGTATTTTTATTTTTTACAACAGTAAAAAAATACCTATATTCGTATATATACAAAAAGGTAGATGTTTTATTACTTTTTTTTTTTATATACGTTTACATCATTTGTCATTCATGTATTTCACAGATTTTTTATAAAAAAAAAAAAAAAAAAAAAAAAAAAAATTATGATTAAATTATGATCTGTCTCGAACTTATTTTCTTGGTTAAATTGTCTTTAAAACTTACCAAAGACACTGTGCTAACTCCTGAATTTGTTTTTGGGGATTTTCGATACTTTCTTTTTATGTAATCATCAGATTCAGCATCAAAGGCGCAAATCAAACACAACTTTGAATAATCGAAATTATGATGATTGACGCTGTTCTGCTGAAATGACTTTATTGTTGATACTTGCGAAAGAATATTGTACGTACTTTGGCAATTGCTGTGAACTGTTGCCTCACTCTTCAAATGACAGATCTCAAGTATACGTACTTAAATAAGTATATGTTGAATCATGTTTTACAATGTGATATTTAATTTTAATTTTTTTTCAGTTTTCAATAAGCGCTATCTAGCGCATCTGATTTCAAACTAAAAAGTACCATTTTTTTTGTTTTTCCAGAAAGTCACTAGTAAAATCACTAGCCTGGTCTAGTAATAAATTTTTTCTAGTGAATTTCTTGAAAACGAAAAAGAGGGAAGAGGTTAGATGGTACTTTTTAGTTCGAAATCAGCCTCGCTAGATAGCGCTGATTGTGAACTGAAAAAAAAATTAAAATTAAACATCACACTGTAAAACATTATTAAATATATACCTTAAATACATAAAATTGAAACTGATAATCGATCCTGTAAACTGTAAATATATTTCCTCAAGATTTCTTTTAGATATTTTGTAGACTTTTTTTTCCATCCGAAAGACATCTTAGGAGAATTGTATCTCCGAAAATCTTGAGAAAATGTATTTACTTGAGAACTGAACATACATATACCTATTAACATTAAACAGCTACAATAGGTATCTAGATACAGTTACAATTACATTTATTCGTTTAAAATGATTTACTCTTCAAATTATTTTAATATATTGAGTTTATTGCAGCAAATTTTTTTTTCTATCTGAATTTGATCATATTTATACTTTAAAAGCTATGATTTCTCATAAAAATAAATTAGATTTTTGTAAGCTTTCTTTGGACTTGATTATTATTGTTTCATTAATGACCTGTCAAATATTTATGAACGACACGGCGTCGGCGTAAGATACCTTTGTTTACTTACTCAGTACTGACGACAACACACACGCGGTCAGTTTGTGTCATATTTGTGCGAGTTTTTTTCTTCAACGACAGGCGTTTAATTGTTTATATTTTATCGTGTAAATAGTGGACAACAAATAAACCGAAAATGTTATACCTGGAGGACTATATTGAGCGTAAGTCAGTTGTTGAATACATGTCTAAGTTAACCTTTTGAGATTCGACGCCTTCCACGAGATTATGTCAATGACGCTGATGTTATATTTGCTATCTAAAGTTAAAATACAATATTTTGATGCTTTTGACGAAAATTGCGTGATTTAAACTCAGTTTTTGTCATTTCAAAGTCAATCAAAGATGGTTTTAGTCATTATTTTCGATGTATTTTGAGGTTAGGTTCTTCTATGTTGTTCCAGTAAAAGAGACAATGAAGCACTTAATCTGATCAATTTTATTGACATGCTGATTTAAGAAAATACTGACTGGTTTTAATCGTAAAACAATATATTTTTGAAAATGTTAGGTTTTACAGAACTTCATTTTTTACTTACAATTAATTGTAAAACTTGTTTTCCGTTTTTAAACTGAATTTTTACTGTGTTTAGTAATTGAAACACTCCCACAAAGACTGAGGGATAGGTTTACTGACATGAGAGAGCAAGACTTGTGTGTGCAAAGTGAGTATTTATCATTTACTTGCAATAAAATAGCGAAACTAAAAAAAAAAACTAAATAATAACTTTTTTTATCAACCAGATGGTGTAGATGATATAGACAAAAGGATAAACACATTCTTTGCTAATGCCAAAAAAATGAAAGCCAACGAAAGGGAAAATGAGCACCAAGCGATAATGAAACAGTTTGACCTGACGTTGAAATGTGCAGATGAGAAGGTGTCCTTTGCCAATGAAATGTCTGAATTGGTGAAACAATATCTCAAAAAATTGGACCAAGATATTGCGACGTTTAAAAAAGAGCTAGAAGACGATAACAAGGGCATCACAGATCTCTTGGAAAAGAGATCTTTGGAGCTGGATCAAAAGTCGATAAACAGCAGTCAGAAAGAGAATCGTTACAGTCTTTCATCTAGTAGGTCGAGAGATAATCACAGTCACTGTAAGAGTCTTTTTTCTATTACTAATCCTTCCCTACGATTTTTTTAAATAAAAATTTCTATCAATGTACAGCACGAGGCGAAAAAAGAAGAGATTCAAATGCCTCGTCCACATCAGCAGAGAAACGACAAATGTTGGATAAGGTCCCGAGTGCACCTGTAACTTCAAATGTTAACAATGTACAAGATACAAGGCCGAACTCAGCGAACTCGGGCCAATTAATGGGTCAGTCCGTCGTGATGGCAAGTGGAACGACGACACCATCCACTAGTTTAGCCAACTCAGTAGGTTCAGTTGGCTACACCCTAGGTCACATAGGCGCGGGTGGTAATGCCATAGCGGCTGCTGCTTCACAGGCCATCGCAGCCACCCAGCACATGCAGCAAGGCAGACGGACGGCGAGTTTGAAAGCCAGTTACGAAGCTATCAACACCGGAGGCGTCCACGCTGCTGAATTCAGCCGAGAGTTAGCTGGCGCAGCTCAGACCGCCATTGCTGCGATTCAAGAATCCTCAAAGAAAAAGAAAAAGTGCGATTTCTTTCTTTTTTTTTCACAATTTCCGGTCTGCCCTTTTACACATAGTACAAACCGATTTAAAATCACAGAAAGGTGAGCTCAGCAGTGCCAAACGCCAACGTGATGACTCAACAACAAGTCCAGCAGCAACAGCAGCAACAGCAACAACAGGCACATCATCATCATCATCATCAAGTGCAACACCAACAGCAGACAAATCAGCAGCACCAGCACCACCAGATTGTTCAATCAGCTCAAGCTTCAGCTAACGCCTTAGCTCAAGCTAATAACACCAAAGTAACAGCGGCTGCTGCTGCTGCTGCTGCTGCTGCTGCAGCTGCAGCTGCAGCGTCTATGGACCAAGTATCAGTGGTTGCTGATACAGACTGGCCAGTCGATCCTAATGAGCCTAGGTACTGTATATGCAACCAGGTGTCCTATGGAGATATGGTCGCATGTGACAACACAAATGTAAGTATTTTTCAATATCAATCTATTAGTTCTTTATTCTATAAAAATCGTTTTGAATTTTGTTCCTTGATGTTTTTTTTGACGTTGCAGTGTCCTTATGAATGGTTCCACTATCCCTGTGTCAACATCACTGCGCCACCGGAGGGCGAGTGGTTCTGTCCGCAATGTGCTCCACTGATGAAAAGAAAGAGCAATCGAAAGAATTAGACAACTTTACATGTTTTCTTGTAATTGCGACTATATTTCTTTCCCCGTTATCCGTCGTTTGTGATCCAACGCTTATCGAAAGTCGTTCGATTTTTTTTTTTTTTTTTTTCATAGTTGCGTCTCGCATGTTGTAGACGTTTCGAAGTCGTGCTCTATTCTAAACTAAAGTTAGTTAACACTTAATGAATTTGAACAACGAAGGAAGGATGGATGCAGTTCAAATCCTGTTATACTGTACAGTAAGATATCAACGCGATAATAAAGGAAAATACCTGTCTTCTTTTTTTTTTTTTTTTTTTTTTCTAAATTTCTGTAATGGTGTGGCATCGTGCGCAAATGTATGCCGGTGAGTAAATGAAAAATAATTAAACAAAAGATTAACGCTTATGTCTTGAACATAATAAAAATTAAGGATTAGGAAATAAGATAATTGTACTTTACGCTTCTGTGGAGAGGAGGAAACTTATTATAGTGAGATTTATCGTGTAAAGTAACGTTATAAGTCGTAAAAAAAAATAGTTCGTTGACGAAAGAATTTAATATTTTGAAACCGTGTGTAAGATAATAAAAACTGATGGTATCAGCAATACTTTTGTATTGTTCCCTATAGTGTTGCTTGTATAAAATGTTGTTTTAAACTACCGATTTGTTGGAGGTCCAATAGGACCTATTAAACATTAGGCATAAGCGAGACTTTAAATTATTTGTATTATCAAAATCTTATTGTTAAGTTCAATTTTTAACAAACAAAATACCAGTGGCAAAATTTATCATGAACAATTCATCATTAATGTTGTAAACCAAACTACTAGATTTATTTAAGAACGGATGCTAAAATTTAAAGAGAATATTCAGAAATATTTGTCAAGATGTTTAAGAATATTCAAAGGAAATTAAACTTTTGTATCAAAAGTACGTGTAATGAAACAATAAAATCTTCAAGTAAAGATAAAAAATTTTGTTCCCTTTTTCATTGTTGGCAATTTGAAATACTTTTGAAAGAATATGATGAAAGAAGCTGCAGCACAAACGTTGCGTGGTTCATTTATTTTTACATATTTTCATGTACCTAATAACATTTACCATGTCTTTCCAGCTTCACTTTGTTGATGTTAAATTTAAATTGAATCAACAATCTTTTTGAATCATGTGTAAAAAAGCTAAAACAACTGATAGTATTGAAAACTTGAAAACATCCTACCAGCGTGCACATTATTTCGAAAACGTTATCGATGATAAAAAACCCAACAAATGTTCACAAAACAAGTCAAAAGTTCGACCCGACTTGTATGTGTATGATCCAATAATCAACGAGAAACGCTCAACTTATGAAAAGCATTACGGTGCAACAAAATCATCTCAAAGATCTCCGGAACATTATGGGAAGTACAATTTCGTTTCAAAGTCTTCTTACAAAAATATATACAATGATTTTCATAGCAAGCCAATTGGAACATTAAAACACGATGTAACATCATCAGGTTTGCAGTACACATTTATGTCACATGTTTGCGTACCATTCGTCTTATTTTCCGTATAAAAAAAATCTTGAATATTTAAAACAGGTGTGTTCTACGATGATCCACGAAAGGCAGTAGAAACTAAGCTTGAGGATGATTTTAACCGAGAAATTTCACGGAAAGAAGAAAGCTCATCTTGTCATGATAATTACTTTGAATTTGTTTACCCATACATCAGCACGACAAAGTCGCATTTTCAAAACCTGACTAAATCGCTTGTAAATGGTATCACGAGAGGCGACGCTAAATGCAGAGTAGAGGATAAAAACATACCCGAGAAGAAATTTTATTACATTGAGCCGAAATTTTTCTTTAAAGTACCTTTCCATGGAGATTCGAGTGTTTACAGGGAGAGTTACAGAGATCCCGCAAAGAAAGATGCATTTTTATCCAAAGTCTGTTTGTTTCCCGACTACTTTGAAAGTGTGAAGCTCGAAGTCTCCAAAATTCCTAAAATGTATTTGACGGAACAAAAGAAAATTGGGAGCGGCCTCAGAGATTAACATGCCATTGAAAGTAAATATCTGCGTTTATACCCATCCAAGACGAAGCTTTAAACGCTATTGTTATCCATGCGGCTGAAATGTGAGATAATAAAAATTATTCGTCTACATGATGAATCACAATTTTATTAAAAATGTATAACAGTAGTCTTACTTTCCGTAATAACTTATAAAGTAGTAAGGTAAAGTGACTATCATTTTTATTGAGTATTAATTAATAATTACGTATAAAAATATATGTGTATAATTCCTTTGCATGTACAACTTACAAAGCTACTGGTACTCTTGAAACAGAATCGTTTGAAACTCGATTATTCGCACGTACAGTGTGTGACAATGAGTTACAAAAACAAATAAAAATTAGTCATGGTGAAAAATCACTCGTAAACATTTGCAGCATCATAACAACACGTCAACTTGATAAGCTCGTTTCTGTTGCGTTGAAAGCTCGAATATCACCGGGTCCATGAAAAACTGTCCAAATCACGTGCAGCTCTGCTTGTTGAGCAACAGCGACGCCTCGCTCATCACCTTCGCGCTCGTGCGGACGAGAAACAGCAGCTGGTACTCGTCGGCCACGCTCAACTGGGCGCGCGCTCGCACCAAGGCATGCAACACCGTCGCTCGCTCCAGATCCAACCAGCGTTGGAGCGCCAATTCCCGCTCGCGTTGTCCTCCCAGTGCTACGTCTGCCGGGCCCCACAGACTAAACTCCAGGACAGCTTTCACCTTTTGGCATAAATTATCGCGTTCAAGAATGTTTTTGCTAAACTTCACTCTCAACTATGGGTCGAATTTCGTGCTAATGTAGGTACGACCATCCAGTCACTCACCTGAGAGAGCGTATCTGCTTTTTCTCGCATGAGCAGTTCCTGGATGATGGGCAACTTTTTCGCGAGATCAAACTCCTCGTAGGCGCTGAGCGCACACTGGCACAGCGACACGCACACCTCCTCGTTGTTCTCGCAGTTGTCGATGCTCAGAGTACCGCTGCTGCTCAAACACAGAAAATCACCGGTTTTAGCCATTCGTTAGAAACACTATACCAACTGCAAGCATCGCAAAGCAACCACTCACCCTTGGAACAGCAAGTACAGCCGATGGTAGGCATCCTTGTCCTCTCGGCAGAGGACAAAGTTGCTCAGCGTTTTCGGCGCCTCCTCGATTCCACGAGCTTGCAAGCTCTTCAAAGCACTTACAAGCTGCAGCAGCACAAACAGAGGTTCCCTGGTCACTTGCTCGTCCTTACCGCAACTGCTCTCCAGACGCATCGCTTCGGCAAAGGACTTTACGGTGTTGACTTGCAGCCGTGGAAAGATCGAGATCGTCGCTGCGGATAATGACAATCATCGTGGATGATTAATATAATTGACATCGTACGTAATGAATGATCGGCAAACACCTATGTAGACGCGTACCTTCCGAGCACTTTTTGTAGGCGATCGGAGCTGCGTCCGCCACGTCCTTGGGTACAGTGTCGACGAACTCGACGATCGGCACGAGACAAAACTCGTTGTTGCTCGACAGCACGTGCAACGAGCTCGGGTGCTCGTAGGCCACGCACACGGTGACGCTCTGATCGTTCCACATCCCCGAAAAGAAGACCCGTCGGTCCGTCTTCAGCGCGGAGTTCTGGTCGATCGTCAAGTCCTGCATCTGCAAGTTTGCCGATTTGAGAGCTCGCAGGCACGCCGGCACTGCCGGTCCTTGGTTCATCTGCGTTGAAAAAGTCCACATGAGTATATAAAAGGAGATGACTGTGGGAATTCGATGGATAGGTACCTGATCCAAAAATTGCGCGAGGGCCTTGTGATTGGCCACCACCACGGCGCCGTAGTTGTCCTCGAAAGTGCGGTGCACTATGCTACGACCTCGCCGATTGTGCCTCAATCTACCGATCCGCGAGCCGTCCTCGGAGCCCTGCGTTACAAGACGATTATTTATATTTCCCCCTTATATTTCGAAAAAAAAAAAAAGAATAAAAGAATCAAACCTCCAAGGGATAGATGTCAGCGTCGGTCTCGCCGGCGCAGTAGGGAAGAGAACTCGAGCGCGCAAAGCTCGGCTGGAACTTGAACTCGCTCGAGTTGCCGTTGGACTCGAGGGCACCGCTGTCCGATTGCCGCTTGGCGATCGGGTAATTGGTACCGCCCTGGCGCAGCTCGATACTCAAGCCGTTGCAGTAGACACCCACGTTGCCGTTGTCGTCTTTCTTTGAAAAGCCGTCGCTCGACACCTACACCGCAACAACAGATCCCCACCCCCCCTCACTCAATTACACGTGAAAAATGTATAAGATCGTCGAACCGATTTATTTGCCGATCTCTCACCGACAGGTCCGACGTTGCTTGCTGGTGCCGGCGAGTGTGGAAGGGCGGGATGAGCGTACCCAGGGTCGATTGGTGCTGCGAGATCGGCACGGCGATCGGTGTCCTCGGCCCGTTGAGGCTCGAGTCGACGGATAACGACGACGACGAGGACACGATGCTCGAGGTGCTGCTGTTCAATTGGTCGCGCATGCTTGAGGTGCGCCTCGGCTTGATCGGCGCCAGGCCGCTCCGCCCGACACCTGCAACATCCTCCGCTGCTACTGCTGCGGGCCCTTCACGCCGATCAACGCCAAACACACGCCCGAGCGCGCCAGACCGGGGGTGTTAGTAATATTATTTTCATATGCAGTCGCAAGACAATAGCCGCGGATGCTTATGTTTTGTTTAGTTCATTCTCGTTTATGGTTTTTGGATTTGGATTTTTTGGGGGGATCGGTCGTTGGTTGATGGTTGAAAAATCGGTTTTGCAGCGATGCGGACGCTACATAGTACTCATATATACATATCAAACAAAAGGATTTCATCAGAGACGAAGGCAAGATATCGAGGGTATGGGAATCGAGTGTAATACATGTATATATTTATGTGAGTGTATGAGCCATGCTGCTGACGTGCGTTAGCGTAACATATATATGTGTGCGAGGCGCCGTTGCGATGCCGGAGACAAAATTCTGACTACTCACTTGTGATGAAAAATGTTTGATTTTACAAACTGTGCATGGATTTGTTTGTTTTAAATGAAACAATCGAAGCAAGTGTATTGCGAGTGGGTGAGTAGTCGATCGAGCGATTATTTTAAGCCCTCGAGATGCAAGTATATAGGTACGTACATGCAGAATTTTCAAGTTAAATGCAGGCAAGCAAGGCAACTCGATGATTTGAAATACGTGTATAGTGATACATTTTTTTTTTTTTTTTTTTTTTTTTTTTCAAGCAGACGCATTTACACGGCCTCTCTTCACACGCGTGAGAGTGGATAAATTTAAGTATAATATTATATAATATTTTGTTGAATGAATGCACATATTGTAATGGTTGTGAGGGCGCGAGCGCAGTGGTACCCTTTTCCTTTTGTCTTTTGTTTTTATTTACAAGACAATTTGTGAATTTACGTTGATTTATGTCGGTGGCGGAGACTATCGTGGGGCATTAAAAAAAAAAAAAAGAAAAAAAAATTTTATGGATGCAAACAGGTAGAATGTGTGGTCAAAGGGATGGATCAAATTTTGAATACTGTAACAAGTAAAAGTGTATAAAATTGGTAAACAAAAAAAAAAAAGATGTAAAAAAATAATTGAATCGCGTAGATTAATGTAGTATGGCAAAAAACAATATTATCAAACAACTGTTGCGGTTGTTCATCTTACCATTTTGAAGCCTAGATAAGAGTTAATGTACGGATAACAAAAAGAAGCAAACGAAAAGAAAAAAAACACAAAAATGATAGACAACACAAAAAACACAATGTAAATAATTACCAAAGTATTATACGATGAAGGCGTGTGTGCAAGAAATNATTATTATTATTATTCTATTAAAGGTTTGCGGAATCGGTACCCACACACATACGCAAACACTTGCACCTACCAACTCACGCGTAAGAGAAATACCGAAGCGCAATGGTCTCCCGCAATCATATTATATATATATATATATACACACACACACGTACACGTACAACAATATACCCACACTTGTATGAATAATCCTCGTGGGCGGGATTTCGCGAAAATCGGCCGAAAGGTACACCTATATGTAAATATATAAGCAGTCAGTTTGCGCGTCTCGAGCACTAAACACCTCTTTATTTACCTATATCTATCTCTCTAAGCGCGGAAAATGTCATCCCGATCCAGCCGCACTCGCCCCGCGAGTAACAACCACCAGCAGCAGGTGTCCCAAAGCCGGCGTCAAAAAGGTTTAAAGGGAAAGAACAAGGCAATGGTGAATATCGTAAAAAAAAAAAAATAATAAATAAAAAAAATTGTAATCTACGTTTCACGAATTCACGAATCGCTAAACAAAAAAAAAAAAGATTTATAATTATAATTACGAAAACGAGGAGAAATAAGACTTGTTGCAAATAGCTTGTTTAGCACACGTTGTACGAGACCACGTTTCAATGACGAGTACGAAAATTATATGATAAAATCAGAACTTTTTTCTTCTCATTTCGCATTACGATCTTTTTACAACTTAACATCGATTTTTCATTTTTTCTTTTTTTAAATTGTATTTATTGCTCGTTGCTGTTGTTGTTCGAGACCTTGCATGTATAAAATTCACATAAACTATAGTTCTACCGTTGTACAAACACATTTTCACCTGTACAAGTCAATATTGTTACATTAACTATACTTACTTTGTAATAACATATAGTTTTTCAACTTTGTTTCATCAGATACGAGCAATTGTTTAACTAACAAAGTACAAAAAGAAAAGGATCATCACACCCATCATTAGGGTTATAATGTTGTTAACATACATTAAAATATTTCACGTAGTTATTTGCAATTCGACCTGCTTTTATTCCCATTCGCACAAGTACATCGAAAGAAAAAATCCATGAGTGTGACGGCGTTCTCAACCAGAGACACAATGTCAAATCAATCTCCCGAAATCAGTTTCGAAACTCTCTGCTTCTGGAAGTAAAATTTTAGGATCCATTGTAACGACTTCCGAATTTGCAATGTATCACATAGATCAACAATTTCAAGGATGCGATACCGTTGTGGTTGATGTATTTAAAAAGTATGGGTTTGAGATAAATAGATGAATAATCAAAACTCTACTTGTATACACATACTAAATACTTACAACGATGCACTCATGGAAGGCTTTATATCGTCATACGATTACTACAAATAAGAAAATCATTCATTTAAATGACAAAGCAACAACAATGTGCTGTAAAAATAAATGAGGTTAAAAAAAAAAAAAAACACATACACACAGAGAGTAGTTTGCGATTTTTTCTGTCGATATACAACGAGTTACAACTACAACTTGCACAATAATCTTTATAAATAATTATTATAATAAGGATGATGATTATTATGATAATAGTAAGAAAAGCAGGTGCGAGTATCGTGTGAGTATGGCTGTTACATAACATAAAAAATAGACATGGTAAGCATACGTATAATATGCAGAATAAAATAACAAATTCTACGTCCAAATCTAAGATTTTTTTATTTATAAAGGGGCAGAACAAGTTCAACTGTAATATTCTTTTTTTTTTTTTTTTTTTCAAAGTGTTTATCAATAAAATAGTGCATTGACCAAAAAAACAAAATAAAAATAAAAAAAAGACATATGGCGTATGGCCTATACCTACGTTACATAATAATGATAATAGTGTCTAAGTAAAAAAAGAAAAAGAAAGACATTACGTCGAAAGAGAAATCGTGGGTAAGATTAGTTGCACTGAATGGGCCGGAACTTACCCAAGTTCGCGTAAATCGAGTCTGAGGCCGAGGAGCCGCTGTTCGGCTGCCAGCTCTTGCTTACGAGCGACTTGCCGCTGGACTGCTGTGTTTTTGGCGGTACCTGGCGGGATCGCAACGATTCGTCCAAGGATTGAGCTTGCGGTGGTGGCGGTGGCTTACCCGGTCGTGCTGGAACAGAATGTTTTTTTTTTATTTTTTATTTTATTTTTTTGCAATTATACCGATCACGAATACATGTATGTAGTTTTTTTGCATCGATCGACCAACATTGCACGCACAGTTGGAAACATGGCCAACGCAAGGAGCCCAATAATTTTATTGTCATCGAGTGATCTTGTTTTCCGCGAGTGCGAGTCCAACTGGACAAGTCATTTGGAAGAGTGCCTGAGCTTGTCTGCTTCTAAGATCATTTTTTTTATTTCCGATCAAAATCTCCATCCAAATCTCAGCTACGAAACTAATGGGGCAATTCGCCACGTAAGTTAATCTTTTCCGATAATCGTCGCCGACACAAAAGAGATGTACCAGAATTTTTTGTAGGTACTGGTCAGGCAAAAAAATACCATACCACTTTTTATTATTGTTTACTTATTACCTGCACGATTTGCATGGAAAAAAAAACCCCTCAAAAATCTATCGATCAATAAAAAAAAAAAAAAAAAAAAAAAAAAAAAAAAAATTTTATGGATGCAAACAGGTAGAATGTGTGGTCAAAGGGATGGATCAAATTTTGAATACTGTAACAAGTAAAAGTGTATAAAATTGGTAAACAAAAAAAAAAAAGATGTAAAAAAATAATTGAATCGCGTAGATTAATGTNTAAACAAAAAAAAAAAAAAAACAAAAAAAAAACAAAAAAAAAATAATCTATAGAGAAAAAACTCACTCGCAACGTGCTGCCCGGCATGGCTGACTCCGCCAATTGGACTAACGCTCTGATGTTCCCTCCTGGAATCCGCCGTCGTAGTCACTGACGCGTTTTCGCTGCCGGTGCTGTTTATCTGGTCGTTTCGCACAACCTGCACGGCCGCGCCGTCCAACTCGAGCGGATGAATGATCTCCAGCCTCGGTTTCGGCTGGGGCGTCGACGGGATCTCGTCGCTGCGCAGACTCAAGCTTCCGCACGTCATGTCCACGTCCTGCGAGCCAAAACACACCATCACCAATCACCCGTGGATCAATGAACCCCAAAACACGCTCGCGGAACGCGTACCTTTCTGGATCCCAGGCCGAGGAACTTTTTCAGGGAGAACTTGGAGCGGACCTTCTTCTGCTTCTCCTCCGCCCTCTCGTAGCCAGCGACGGCCGCAGCAACCGTGACCGTCGCCGCAGCCAGGCTGTCCTGGGACACCGACACGTTCCTCCTCGGCGCGGGCTCGGGCGCAACCGGATCGGGGGTGTCGCAGACCCCGGCGGGCTGCCCACGGAACTTGGGGCTGCAGCTGGAGGCGCGCTCGCGCTTCTCCTTCTCCCGCACGACGGGACAGTCGGGCTTGGCGCCTCCGTTGCTCGGGCTCAGGTTGGGATTCCGGGTGAACAGACTCGAGCCCGAGGTGTTGTCCCCTGGCCCAGGGGACCCCGGCGAGTGGGGCGGCAACGGGGCCTGGCGCCGCTTGCTCGACCTCTGCTGCCGCTGCTGCTGTTCACCCATCGACGACGACGAAGCCTCGCTACTCTCCCCCTCGTCCTCTTCCGCGTCCTCCGCTTCGGCCTAAAACAACGCACGACCACATTCGATCACTCCCCCCTTTTGTTTGTTTCCTCCTCCTCCTCCTCCTCTGTACCAGCCATCACCTGTTCGTCCTTCAGTACAGTTTTGACGACACTGGCCTTGAAGAGTAGGTCAGCGTCCCCAGGTCTCTTGGGACTGGTCCGATCGACCGCTGCCAGAAGCTGACTCTCGCTGCGCGAGTGGGCGAGGGGCCCAGCCTCACCTGCGGCGGCCTGGCTGAGCTTGTACTCGTAAGCTCGGTTCTCACTGAGGAGCGAGGCCAAGCTCGAGCCAACGACCTTGGCGGGCAGCGTGGCCGGTTTCTGGGGCACGGCGGGCTTGGCGCTGTACAAAAACGACGGCTGAGCCACAGGGGCGTCGGGTAGCACCGGCGGCGGGCTCTTGGGCAGGGCTGGGGGCTCAGCCACGACTTCCTCGTCGGCTTTGCCGTCGGGCTCGCCGGCCGACTCCCGGCTCTCCGAGCACATTCTCTTCTCCTGCACCGCCTCGCCCTCCACCTTGCGCTCGGCCAGATCGGCGAGGCACCTCGACGCCGTCTCCTACGAAAACAATTTCAACCTTTGATCGTCAAAACAAAAACAAAAAATAAAAAAGAAAAAAAAAGAAACACAACGTACCTGCGCCTTTGCCTCGGTCCTGCCGATCGGAGCGAGCTTCAGCTCGACGCCCCCGAGGCTCTTGGTGGCCGCGCTCGCGGTGATCCTTGGCTTTTCGTTGTCCGGCTTCTTGATGGCCGGCGACCTGGTGACACTCGGCCGCGTTGGCTTTGGCTCGGCCGGTCCGACCGCGATCAGATTCGACGCGATCAGCGGCATGTCGACGATTTTCCCGAGACTCGGGGCTGCGCTCGTCTCGCCCCCGTGGACGCGGCTCTTGTTGGCGGTGGGCTCCGCGGGCTCGGCTGGCTTCCTGTCGACCGGCCTCCTGTCAACGGAGCCAGAACAGTTGTAGCTTGGGGGATGGGGGGGAGGAAGGAAAAAGGGGGTGCAGTGTGCGACGTACCTGGCCGTGGGGACGGTGCCGTCGTCGCTGCCGAAGGGAGTGATGGTCACGAGGAGGGTGGGCTTGTTGCCGGTGGGCTTGGGGGCTCTGCCGAGCATGAGGGCGGGGCCGAGGGGGGGCGCCGTGAGGTTGGCCGTGATCGTGTTGAAGTTCGTGTTGGCTCGGGTGAGGTTGCCGAGGGCGCGCTCCTCCTCGCTGTCGGGCAGGTCGTCCGGCTCGAGGCTGGTGTCGGCGCAATGGTCCGGGTCGTCCTGGTCGGCGGGGCGGGGGCTTGAGTCCTCGGTGTCGAAGTCGTCACCTCCGTCGTAGCCGATTATTTCGGTCAGCGAGTCCAGGAAGGCGACCGTCTTGCGCTTTGGGCGCAGTTGGTTTGTGCTGTTGTTGGGTTCTTTCGTTGGACGCAGGATGCCCTATAGGTGGGGTAGAGAGAGCCAACGGGTTCATTGGATGAAAAATATACAGTCGCGATGTATCGACGCTTGGTTGCGTAGTCGTCACGTTTTCTCGTCGAGAGCATTTTTTTTCATTTTTTCGAAGTCAACGTGTATTCACGGGGAGAAAAAAAAACAACTTACTCTGCCAGAATGGTGTAATCTGGTGTCATTTGGCCGTCTTATAGAGACTTTTTACTTTGGCCTACCTAATGTTTACCATTTCATTGCTGGACAGTAATTTCTATTGTACAAACAGTAAAAAAATCAGTGGTATACTCACAACAAAAACTACTGCTTTAGACGACAAAACACTATCAGATAACCATTCTAGCGCAGTAATTTTTTTTCCTTTCAGTATATGGTTTTGCTTCTGATTGATTTGAAGTTATTAATGTTTTTCCCCGATGACTTTATAAAATCAATTACGAGATGCAATGAGAAAAAAGGTTTCAACACGTCTCGGTAGTACAATATGCAAATTCTTGATCTATGCAGAGTAAAAAATGACAGTATCCGCAGTAGTGACAAAGGTGCTTTGACCATAAATGAGTCGTACCAAAAAAAAAAAAAAAAAAAAAAAAAAAAAAAAAAAAAAAAAACAAAAAAAAAAAAAAAAAAAAAAAAAAAAAAAAAAAAAAAGTAACATCGCGTACCGATTAGACCGTATAGATAACAGAGAGTTACTTTGACAACTTTCCCGGCTACTCTCGTGCGCCGTGCAAAACTTCTCATTTCGCAATGAGTTTACGGCCATCAGAGCTGCTGCCCGAATAATAACTCACTTATCTCCTTCTTCGTTTTTCGCGCCCCGAACACTCCAAGTTTACATGTATATATAATATATACACGCGAGAGCGCAACACAATCGCGCGCTTTCCCGCGGTTGTTATTTGTTCGGTTCTCTTATCTACCGGCTCGAATCAGTGGTGTATTTTTTTTTTTTTTCTTCTTCTTTTTCTTTCCTCTACACCGTACGTCCCGTGTAAAAGGGGAAAGCCTCTTAGATGTGTCCCCTCTGGCGCGTAATATGCACTTGTTTTATCAAGTAAGCGCTTTCGCTCCTGTTATTGTTTGTTAATGGTAAAATATAATCGACGACTGGGCACATTGTACGGCAAGTTGCAGGGCACGCGATGCGCGAATCACGAGCCGTGCGTGTAATTAGACGTGATTTATCACGTACTATAATTGTACGTATATATTATATATACTTGTGCGCGTATGGTTGAGAGAAAAGTGGTTTTGTTCGAGAGTATAGTGGTGTATCGTAAAAATTGCGCTGCAAGAGTGAAATGAACGCCGTGCACGGGTGTATAATTATCGCGAGTGGAAAAAAAAAAAAAAAAAAAAAAAATACTACTCTGCTTCGTTATGCCATTTGTTTCGATTCAGGTTTCGGCCTTGCAATGAACAAAGTAAGTTTGAACAAATCAATTTTATTTTTTACTAAAAAAAAAAAAAGTATACGCAACTCTCGGTAAAACCCGAGTGGAGAAAAAAAAGAGAGTGTCCAGCAGCTCTTTCAGTCAAATTATGTAGCGGACCTTCTCGCGTTGAGTTGACGATTAGTACTACCATTGGAGGCAGCTTATACCAAATTTTTTAGCAACTATCAATCGCATATGATTGTTTCCTTGGCAAGTATATTTTACCACATACACATACCTCGGACTTTGCGCGCGACGTCGACCTCATTTCTGGACGCGCTTCCGCGTGCTTATCGCGAATAGAAGGAGGAGGAGGAGGAGGAGGAGGATAACCCAGATTTCGCTCGTCGCCGCGAGCATTCGCTGTATATATATGTGTATAAGTACAGCATGTACACGCGGATGCGATGTATATCTCGAAGCGATATCTGCGCGCGCGACCGGCAAGGTCGACAACCTCGTGGCGGAGGAAGGCTAAGGTCACGCTGGTACTGGACTTTTTTTCCTTCAACAACCCAAGACTCCTTTTTTCTCTTTGCCAGTGGCACGTCGAGTGTCTCAAAATATACGTAAAATAAACTTCCACCCACGAAAGATTAAAAAGACTTTATACAGTGTATACAACGTTCGATCGAAGAAAACCGCATCGAAAAAGTAACGATCGTCAATCTATGATAGAACATATCGAGAGAGAGAGAGAGAAAAAAAAAGCCTCCAAGGCGTACCTGCACTTTGTGCACGACCCTCTTGACGCTGAGGGCCGTTTTGACGACGACGGGCTTGACGAGGTCTTGGGTCGCGAGGTGCTCCTCCCGGGACTTGAAGCAATTCGAGCACAGGTCCTTCTTCCAGGCATTCTGCACGAATTGCCGGCACTGCATCTTCGACATGGTCGCGCCTTGCGCACCGCTCTCCTCCTATGGGGTTGTCCCGTTATAGCTTCTTCATCGCCGCTGCGTGTACTCTCGCTGCCTCTGCAATCACACGGATAAAAGTCCATTGGGAAACGAGTCCGAGTGGTACATATATTTGCGGCTACTTTACTCCACGTATTTTTGTGTGTGTGTGTGTGTGAGTTTCGCACTAGATATGGGTGGGTTTTTTCACTTGTACGTATAAATACATGTATACACGGTATAGAGAGCGACATTGGTCGAGGTGCTTTGGGGAAACGGTTATATATATATTGTTGTTAGAAAAGGTGTACGCACACTTTCGCGTCGAGTGTACGTGCATTGTATAGAGAGGGAGAGGAGCCGATGATGATCTTTATTGTCGTTTTACACCGAACGATCATTACTAACGATTTTCTTTTTTTCTTTTTCTTTTTTCCAAGACTATACCGTGAACAAAAAGTATCCTTTCCATTGGTAATACTGGTAATTTACATACACACCCAACCCATACGCACAAACCAACCCTATATCGTTACTAGAATAGATATACACACGGACGTCCATAGATCGGTAACTCTCGACGTCGAATTGAAGTTGATCCACGTGAATATATTATGTAATGTATTGATACATGCATGCTCTTGCGAGACCTCGGATTGGAAATAATTACGGCAAGCGCCAACGAAGCGAAAGATTTTTCGTTAGTTGCTTTTCTGGTGTTCAAGTTTTGGGGGAAGTTTTTTGTCCTCCCCCCCTCCTCCCTCAATTTTTGTTACTTTGTGGAATCCATGTCGAAGGGTGAAACGGGCCAACAACGTACCTGATGCGCACACTCGGTCAGAGCAGCGAAACACAAACATCGCACCGCGTCTCAAGGAGACTCGCATACATCAGTGAGAAAACAAATGTACAGAGGGATCGTGTGTACCCACGTGTATATATATATATATATATATATATATATATATATACACACACACACGTACACGTACAACAATATACCCACACTTGTATGAATAATCCTCGTGGGCGGGATTTCGCGAAAATCGGCCGAAAGGTACACCTATATGTAAATATATAAGCAGTCAGTTTGCGCGTCTCGAGCACTAAACACCTCTTTATTTACCTATATCTATCTCTCTAAGCGCGGAAAATGTCATCCCGATCCAGCCGCACTCGCCCCGCGAGTAACAACCACCAGCAGCAGGTGTCCCAAAGCCGGCGTCAAACTCGCGGTCGTACCACCACCAACAACAATGAGGGTCGCAACAACCGAACCACAGGCGTCGCGGCGGCACACCAGGACGACAGGTCGTTGAACCGGATGTTCGCGCGGGTCGACGCGGCCCTCCAGCGGCTGGTCGGTCCGCCGAACGAGGCGGCCGTCACGCGGAGGCTCCACGTCGTTCTCGAGCTGATGCACCAGCCGAGGCGCAGGAGAACAAGGAGGAGAGCCGCGAACCATCAGGGACAAGCGAGACCGGTCACTGGAGGGGACGCCCTGGAGATGATGTCCGTGTCGTCGGAGGAGACGCTGCGCGCGAGGAGGCTACCCGCGGGGAGGACGAGGTGCAGCCACAGCGTCTACGACTGGAGTTTCTGCTCGAGTACGTATATATATATATATATATATACGAGTACACTTGACTGGAAATTGCAGTGTTGTCGAACAACAAATCCTACCTTGGCGGTGGCCCAACCAGGGTATACCTTCCCAATTTAGTTAAAAAGTGGTATTTGTTGCTCGATAGTGCCGCGAGACTCAGTTCAATACCGTCCAAGGGCCTTTTTGGAGGCAAATTTTTAATTCAATTGCTTTTTTCTTTTTTTTTTTTTTTCTCTTTTTGACTATCCACACGACGATTGCACAGAGTGCCACACCAATCGTCGTCACCTGTCCCGCTGGTGGTGGCAAAATCGGTACAAGCAACATTGATGCGTCGGAAACCACTACGGGTGCACGAGTCGATCGCCACACGCCGCGATATGGAGAAAGCAGTTATATACGTTAGTTCTAAGAAATTCGCTCAAAGCGATGATAATAATATTATGTTGTTGTTGTTGTTGTTGTTATATTTTTATACGCATATATATATATATTTATATTACAAAGTGTTGCCATATTGTTTCAAAGACTTTCGTGTGTTACCCATATTTATATATATATAAAGTTTTTGTTGTTGAATATTATATTATGTATGCATGTATACATGTATCTCTGAATTTGTTGGCACTTGTATTGATCACACAGTCAAGATTTAGTATTTATAATGGCAAAGGTAACGATCCTCGTATCGAAAGAGGAGCCCATGTATTGTACAGCGAGAATATTGTTGTTGAAGTTAAAGTTAAAGTTATTGCTCGATGAATCCTCTCGATGGTCGATAATACATTGAATAAAATTGTTGTTGCTATTGTTATTGTAAGGCATGCAAATTTTTGAATATATATATACAATGTACGTGTTGAACGAGTCTTATTATTATAATGTTTTTTTTGTTTTGTTTTTTCTCTTTTTTTTAATAAAATGGTACTTCAAAAATAAAAGAAACAAACGTTTGAATTCAGTCGTCACCTTTGATTGATCAACGGTACAACTCTTGCGTACCAAAAGCTTATCGAGAGTCGTAAACACGACAACAGTGATTGGTTGGTTATCGTTGGATTGAAAGGGCGAGGTGGTTTTAATATCTTGAGCTAAGGGCCATTTTGTACCCCAAAACGTATGGTCAACACATGCATACCCGCGTACACGATCTCCGACGCACCGTATACCTACAACTTTTACGCGCACACTAACTTGCGATGAAAGAATAACACATCGGAGACGGCGACTGTTGTAACTCGATGGTCGCAAGGTCGTGGTTTTTCTGAAACGACGCTGTAAAGTCATATAGATTGCGTAGGAAATTTAGAATCCGCGGACAAACGGGATTTGTTTGGTTTGACATTTTTGTGGTTTTTCAGTTGTCGTGCAGCACGTCCGGGGGCTTTATTTATCAATCGTTGAAGGGCACGACCTTGAGATTCAACGTCAAAGCAGCGGTAAAGTATGTAGATACGAGAAACGACATCTTGAGTTATTATGTATACACATACGTCATTTTATCATACGCCGCACGAGTTTACTTGCGAGAAATTGCTTATCGCTTGGATAAATCAATACGCTTTGCAACTATAATACTTGAGCCACTTATTTCGAGCAAAGCCCGAAACTTTACTGCAACAAGTCCGCTAATCGGTATCGGACGTAGATTAGATGCAGTGTGCGTATAGGCATCGTCGCCAGGAACGGTACACGCACTGACGCGCCGTTTTTCAAATCCCTCTCAAATGGTCCGTTACATCCAGAGACACGAACGATCCTTACAACTGCCCTCCATAGATCGATCAATAATGCGACCGTTGTGTGCACCCAACGTCTGTTCCGTAAGAGGGAGACAACACTGTACGTGTTTCACCTTGTGTGATCGATAAAGCCGTTCGGTGAAGCGTAAGTAAAAAAAAAAGGGGGGGAATCGGCGGGATTGAATAAAAAAATGGGGGGGAGGGCGTAAGGAGATCGGGTTAGCGATACTCGAAACGCGATTAGCAGCCCGAGAAGAGCAAAGAGGAGGCTGAGATATCGTGATCTCTTGTACGTACAAGGTTTCTTATACATACCTCGTACAGAGTGCGCGTCTACATGCATGTATCGATGGAAGGGGGGCGTGGACTCCAGGGGTGTTGGTGCCACTTTTGGAATGTAAATCGATACCCGTAAAGAGGGTCTTTTTATTTTATTTTTTCAGTTCCAGTAGGCTGATTTTTTCTTTTTCACGTGCAGTTGAAATTAATCCAGAAATATATACACGCGCAAAAGGTGGTCTCTTGAATTTTGTGTTGGGAGGTCAGTGCGTTTTACTGTAACTATACCTATATTAATATACATTTGTAATATATATTTGTACAATTTATATAGAGCTAAATTACACAAGATTTTTACATTTTTTTAAAAAGACATCTAAAATGTGCATGTGGATGTATGTATTGTTTATCGTATAGGTAACTGTTAATTACATACGTGTGTAGCAAAGTTCCGCGGGTTTGAGGGTTTGCACGATTTATCAAGCTCTACACCGCAAGTTCACACCTGAAACAAACACAAACGGACGAAAATCATTATTTGAGGAATAATGTGAAATTCATTTTATGGATAATATCTACGCAAGTTTTTGGGTATGTTAGTTGCGACAGGATACATGGACACAACTTGTTTCAGTGTCGATTGGAAATGATAGATTTACATTTTTTTTTTTTTTTTTTTACCAAGAAAATGACTAGCAGACAGCTAAAAATAAATCCACATGAGCCAAAGCCAGTCAGTCGTTTCCACGACAAAGTCTATACCTATACACAGCAGCAATAACTTACCGCGCGGCCCTCCTCTTTCCTCCATTCATCACCGGTGCAGTGAACAAAAAAATAAAAAATAACCCCCCGCAGCTTATTCCCACTTCGCATTTAACCCGATACACGGCTCTTTGTTTCCCTCCGCCCGTACAGCGCACCCCATAAACATCAGCTCCCGCATCAGCCACTTTTCCCCTTTGAATTACGCTCGTTTCCACGAGAGAAGGCTATATACTCGCAATCTCGCGGATCGGCTGTTTCAAAGCACCGCCGCGCTCTCCAGACGTCTACATCGCGCGGAAGAAAAGGCCAATTGGACGCGTCGTTTTGCTCTGCAATGTAAAGAGGGGGGGGGGGGGCTTTTTTCTATCGAACGAGGAGGGAGGATCGCCCCCTCTGATCGATCGGATCTGTGCGACGACCGGGGATATTGCGTAAGTGCCGGCGGTGTTATGGGTAATACGCGTGTTTGTAATGGGTGTACGCTTACTGGTAGGAGGGTGGCAGGTAAGGCTTAACTTGCGATTCGTTTTTTTTTTCTTTTCCAAGGTGCTTCGTTTGCTGGGAGAAGCAAGTAATTGGAAAATCTAGATCGGACGGTCGTCGTGCGTTGTGAGAGATACCGATACAAAATGAGAGCGGAAGCCCTGAAATTGTACCGAGTACCGAGGAGAGCGAGGCTTTCTTGTACGAGGAAAAATCGTCGCCTCGGACAAAGAAATCGGGAGGGAATAAGGGGACGACCTCGGCTTTGGAAATTCCAGATGAGGGAGAGATCGGTAAGGAGCCGCATTCCAGCGGGTCGCGACTAAGTGTGTATGTACATGTAACACGTAGAAGGCGAGAAGTGGTCCCCTTTTTCCTTGCATGTATAACCAACGGGGAGTGTAACGTGATGGGTTCAGCGACCGAAAGAGAGCCGATCGAAATTCTGGCCTCGACTCGTGATCGGTAACTCTCTCTCTCTCTCTCTGCCACCCTCCACTTTCTTTTCCCGCTCATCACATCACCCCGGACTCTGACGGATCGCACATTGCAAGTCTACACGTGAGCAATGAAATTTTGGGCTGACAGATGTAAGTGTATAATCCGCCGATTCCTCCGAGCTTTCAGTAGCAACGTAGATGTGAAGCATACCTTTGAATACCATCCGCTTCGGGATCGCGTGCGGAAAGAGGGAAGGAGAAAAAATGAGCGTCTATTATCCGAGAAAAAGAGAGTCTTCATGAGTTTCGTATATATTATGCTACCTTTCGCTTGATAGGATTCTACTATACGTTTAGTTGTAAGCTATGACGTGTGGAAGATGTAATCTTTTTCAAAAAGTGCTTATACTCAAATTATATGCACATTGTGTTTGATAATTTATTCAGTTGCATGTTTATAACACAAGCATGAAAAAAAAAACAAAAACAAAAAAAAAAAAACTGTTTCTACCATTAGCTTCCTATGCAATACAATGCACTTTACGAAGGTATAGGAGATATTAAAGGAAGTTTGAGGAGGAGTTTAAAAGAGTTTTTCGTCGAATGAGACATGCATTTATCAACAGAGTCAAGGTGGTAACTCTAAAAAAAAGGTATAGGGTTGATCGTCACCACCAAAACGGTTAAAGTAGTTTTGATTATTCTGATCATTTTAGTATTGATGAGAAAAAACTAAATATTTATCATAAATTTGATCGGTCAACGTATTAACTTTTCTGTTTCACGCAACAAGAAATATTCGGCGCTTCTGATGTCTCCTTGTAACCAGTGAGGCTTCACTGTCTTTGAAAAATATTGCAGCGTCGCGCGTCACGTTCTTTCCTTCCGAAGACGTGGCCATTATTTCCGACATTCCTTCCGTTGGACAAAACCATCGGTTTAACAACACCCATAAACCCGTCGAAGCCCTCGGGCAAGGCCTGAAAAGACTCCCCCTCGAGCTCCACATCAGTTTTACGAAACAAAGAGCTTCGCCTCACTTTTCGCGCCTGCTGCGCGTCCAGGGTCTCTCGCTCGTGGACCTTGGGACGCGAAAGATGCTGAGGAACGGCCGTGAAAAAGGGTTAAGAAAATTCGAACACGCATTGTAACGTATGCATGTGTAGAAGCGGAGAAAAATAAAAATCGCAAACATAGAGGCTGCCATTATTACAATGTATAACTATACTGTGCATTCACATAATGTGTACGTGAACACACAACAGAGGTGTATTATAATATAAATGCCTATAAGCAATTATTGGTTAAGGTGTACGCGGATCACTATTATTATCGTTTTTTTTTTTTTTTTTTTTTTTACTTCAGGAATTTTAACTTTGTTTGCATTAAATTCTTGACATGAACTACTTGTCATTAAAAAGTCGCTCACTTGTCTTTCAATGCATTAAAAAAAAAAAAAAAAAATTGCAAAATCAAAAACTGTACTTAAAAGAGTGCCGTGTGTCGGAGTGGTTGTTTAGTTTTTTTTGTGCAAAATTAATGTCGATTCCATCATTTTTGGAGTGTTTTGGAGGGATAAAAAAAATGAAATCCCTGTAACAATTCATACAGTCCCAAAGTGAAAAACCGTGAGATGCAAATTGAACATCGATACCCATACACGTATGAACTTACACGAAATTGAGATAAAAACACAAACACAACCGATGCCTCGGGTAAGCTATGTATATCCATGTGTTATATCCATGCGCGGAGGCCAAAGTAAAAGAAGACTCTTGCGACCAAGGCCTCCTCTCGATCTCTTACGATGTCGCGCGCCGATTGCATTCCACGTCGATGACCATACACACAAATACACACATACACTCTCTCCACAGCTGCGGAGTATGCATATAATACTTTTGTGCATTACCATAAGGTAAGACGCAGTTGCTATGAAAATAAAAATAAAAAAGCTCACGCGGAGCTTGTGCGCCCCTGTGGAGGAAAACTTTATTCGTTGAAAGGAACAGTTGAGGTTTTTTCTCCTCCAAAACTCTACGTTTTACACAATATGCAGAGTTATTGTTGTTGAAAGTAAAATAAAACTTTTGTCGTGACTCGCGGACTCACGTATACGCGTCGTACTGTTCTCTCTCTCTACGTTTAAAAGAAACAAAAAAAAAAAAAAAAGATACACCAGCACAAAGCTAGCGACCAAGAGGAGATAGAGGGAAAATGTGTGTCGCACGCGATAAATAAAACTCGCGCGCGCAATAAAAGAAACAATGCAACGTGCGTATGTACATATATACAGCCAAGGAGTAAAACGTGTGTACAGTG